AGAAGTGTTTTGTTCAATGGGGGTAAGTCATTGAAAGAAAAAGAAAAGAAAGAAGACAGCAAACCTCAACCTACTGAAAAAAAACAGAGTCGTATTGAATCAGTTGAAACAACTACTCAAAAAAATGGAAGACAACCCCTTCCTCCAAACCCAGAAAAGAAAGAACAACATAAACCAACTCTTCCAACACGCAACACTTCATCAATTACTCAACCATCTAAACTCTCAACACCATCAAAACAGAATTCTTTAGCTACTTCAAAGCAAGAAAAGGAAAATAAGCCAACACCACTACCAAAGAAGGGTTGTGTAAAACCAAAAGTCCCAGAAAAAAAAGAAGAACCTATTACTGATTTTAGAAGCGTTTTATTTAATGGAGGAAAGTCATTAAAAGAAGGTGAAGTTACAGAAAGTAAACCACCAACACAACCTCCTGTTACTTCTTCTTCAAAAAAAGAAATACCAACACCAATTCCTTCAAAGACTAATACCAACCATTACAATTGTTCTAGTAAAGATAAAGAGTTACCTCAAACTATCAAAGAAAATGCTAAACAAGAAATCCCAAAGAAACGAACAAGTTCTGGAAGTAAAACGCCTATTTTACCAACAAATCAATCACAAACTATTTCTTCTGAAAAACCAATAAGTCAACACCACATGACTCAATGTAGTATCTCAAAACCAATAGAAGAAAAAAAAGAAAATAAACCGACACTACCACCAAAGAAAACAGTTGTAAAACCAAAAGTTCCAGAAAAAAAAGAAGAATCAACAAGTGATTTTAGAAGTGTTTTATTTAATGGAGGAAAGTCATTAAAAGAAGGAGAAAAGAAAGAAGAAACAAAGGTAACAACATCTACTAAACCAATAACACCTCCTAAAAATAAAACTATTGGATCACCAGCTCAACCATCAGAATCAAAACATTCAACAAAACCACCACTTCCAAAGAAAGAGAAAGAATTTAAAAAAGAAGAAGAACCAATCACTGATTTTAGAAGTGTTTTATTTAATGGGGGGAAATCATTAATGCATGATAATTAACAAGAATTGTTTATCTTTTTTTTTTTCTCTTAAATTTTTGTTCATTAAATAATTTATAAAATGATAAAACAACCAATTATTACTTTCCACTTAATCGTTGAGCCTGTTGTTCATTCTCTCTGGTTTGCATATCCAAATTATATTTTGAAACAATGAAAGCATCAATAATTTTATGGAACTCAGCCATATCTCCAGCAAGTTCCTCTTCAAAGCTTGCTTGTTTAATTCCCATAATATTAACAATAACTTTCATTCGTTTAATAACAGATTTAAGCATATTTACTTCTTTCACTTGTAAATCATTGGAAATAGCATTAATCCTTGCAATTTTCTTTTCTAAATCATTAGCTCTATCAACACTTAAGAAATATTCTTTAGCATTAATTAATTTTTGACTTTCTTTACTCATATCAAGTAAAGTTTTCTTTATAGCAATTTTCTTATATAATTCATTTAAAATTTTATTAATCCGTTCTTTTTTCATTCTCATTTCAACTCGTTGAACTTTAAATTGTTGTTGTCTAACTTTTTGATAATTAAGTAATCTATTTTCAAGTACTTTAATTTTAATTAATAATTCTTTTTTATGTCCATCAACAATGATTAATCTTTGTTTTAGTTTTTCACTGGTATTTGTTCTCATAGCATTTTTAATTCTAATAATTCTATTAAACACCCTTTGTAATTCTTTGACATTATCAGATAATCGTTTAAAAGCTTTCTTTTCTGCTTTAATTCTTTTATTTTCATAATACTGTTTTTCTTCTGCTTTAAAAGTACTCACAACAACATCTTTTTTTCTTCTAATTTCAGCTAGTTTTCTTTTTACTTCAATAACTTTTTCTTTTGCTTCATTAACAAGATTTCTTTGTTCACGAAGAATTCCTTGACTAGCTTTCTTCGTTTTTGATTGATTTAATTTAGCTTTCATTTGTTTTAACTCATAACGAGCGTCTTTTATTTGTTGAAGAAGATTTGATCTATCTTGTTTGAGTTGATTAAGTTTAGAATGAAATTCTTGTTTAGCTGAGGAAAGTTTAGGAGAATCAACAAAGAGTTCTTCTTCTCTTTCAAGTACATCTTTTATACTTTCACCTAAAAATGAAATACGTTCTTTAAATTGTTCCATTTGACTTTGTAATTTAGGGAGATGTTGTTTTGTTGCATTTTGCATTTGTTCTTTTAACACAACAACTTTACTTTCAAGAATACTTTTTTGTTGAGCAAAACGTTTTTTATCTGAAGCTAATTGATTTGCTTCTTTAAGTAATTTTTTCTTTTGAGCTAATAAACGTTTTGTATTATCATTTTCTCTTCGAATTTTTTCTTCTACTCTAAACATTCGATGTTTTAATCTGAAGATTTGATTCATAACTCGGTGTTGATTTTTCTTCATTGATTTTAATATACCTTCAGCTTTAGTGTATTTCTCTTTCATTGATAGAAGTATATTCTCATATGAAACTTTCTTTTTTCTTAATTGTGAAATAATAGTTTGACTTACTCTTTTATCAGGTTCACTAGCAGCTTTTTGTGCTTTATTTTTTAATTTATATATTTGATTTGCCATTTGTTTTAAATTTATTTTAGCCTTCTTTGTTTCTTTTTCTGCAACACGCAATTCAACTACTTGTTCTTTCATTTTATTTATTTCATTGGCCATTATTTGTTTCATTTTATTTAGTTCATTTTGTAAATTATTCATTCGATTCTTTAATTCAGCAATTCGTTTCCCATGTTTACTTTTCACTTCTGTCATTTTTTCAGTAATTTGTTTGATGTAAGAATGATACTGTTTGTCATTATTGCTAACTGTCTCAATTGCATTTGAAATTACAAATACTAAAAGTATTAGGACCAACTTCATAATATTATAATTTTTCAGTTTCTTTTATTTTTTTATTTTTTTTATTTTTTTTTTTTTTGACTTTTATTTCTTTTCCATTATTTTTTTATTCTTTTCTCTTCATTTTTCTTGTTTATTATTACTATTAATAATTTTCTCATATTAAAATAACAAAAAATTAAATATTTTGTTTTTCAAAAAAAACTTAAAAATTCATTTGATGCAACAGCCACCTCAAACAGGAACGAAATTTGCAACAGAAAAAGATGTTAAACAAGCACTTGACTGTATTGATAAACAACAATTACTTAGCGCTATAGAAGAAGTAAAAGTTTGTATTCTAAATAACCTTGCCATTAATATTATTTAAATATTGATTTGATTAATAGAAACTTGTTCAAACTGACCGTAAAAAAGCAAAAACAATTCTTTCAGAAAACCCATCATTAGCATATGGAATTCTTGAAGCTTTACATACAATGCAAATGATTGATAAACAAACCTATGATGCACTAACTGGGAATAATCAATGAATGTTTTTCTTAAATTAATCCTTTATTTTTTTTAATAAGAAAAGTTAAAATTTTAGACATCTTTTGTTGAAAAAATAAATATTTTTTTAAACTGAAAAGATTCAATCTCATTATGAAATTGACAAAGCTAAAGTAAAAGATAGTATTATTTAAACAGTCTATAAACAAAAAGAAGTCACTCATTGGTTATGCTCATTCTTATAATCCTTCTTTGCTTTAATGCTAAAGGAAAAGAAAGTTTTATTTTTACTGATGGTAAAATGAATGATGGGTGGCATATTGATACAGGATATATGTCACCTGCTTTAGTTGTTATTAATGGCACTAGTTATTACAAAGGAAATATTAAAAAAAATGTTCAATTTATTAATGAAAGACCAATAAATACACAACTAAAAACTATTCAATTTGTTTTGTACTATGAAAGTACAAACACAAGTGAAGTACCAATTATAATTACTGTTAAAGGTAATACTTTAAAAAGTAGTAGACGTACTCACACTTCACAATTTAAAGCAATTCCAAATACTGAAAACAAGGTAGTTGTTCCAATCACTAGTTCGTCTATTCAAAACATAACAATTTCAGTTGATGATAATGTAACTAAAGGGGCTTTTATTGCTTATGTTGGAAATGTTAAATTATCAGATTCAACTAGTTATGTTCCTGTTAGGCTTGTAGAAACATCAATATCAACCCAAAGTGATGGTGGTCAATTAATTATTTTCACTCCAATTGAATGGAAATGTGACAATGGAATATCAGGTGTGTTAGTTTTATCCATCTTTACAATTTTAATGATCCTACTTTAAACAATTAAAATTTTCTTTTTTATTTCAAAATAGGTTTTTGGTTTTTTAAAAGAATAAAAGGAAATTTAAAAAAAAAGAAAAATATACGAACAATACGATTAGAGAACAGAGATGTCCGTGTTTTGTTTAGAAGAGAGAACATCCACCACTCTTTTTCTTTGGTTTAGTTTGGTTCATAGCATTAATTCTTTTAATAAGAGTAGTGAAAATGTCTGAAATCCTAATTTCAGCTTTAGCAGAAACTTCAAGGAATTCAGCTCCATATTTATCAGCTAGAGCTTTACCATCATCTTGTGAAACAATTCTTTGACTCTCAAGATCACATTTGTTACCAACAACAATAATTGGAACATTTTCTGTATCTCTAACTCTAACAATTTGATCATGAATTGGATCAAGATCGTTATAAGTAGATTGTGCAATAATGGAATACACAAGAACAAATCCTTGTCCAGTTTTCATATATAAATCTCTCATAGCAGTAAATTGTTCAGTACCAGCAGTATCTAAAATTTCAAGGACATATTGTTGTCCATCCAAATCTAATTGTTTACGATAAGAATCTTCAATTGTTGGATCATATTTAACTAAGAAAATGCCTTGTACAAATCTAACTGTGATTGATGACTTTCCGACAGCACCACTTCCTAATACTACAATTTTGTAGTCTTTCACTGGCATCCCAAAGAATGATTTAATTTTTCAGTTCTTTAAACTATTTAAATATTTATTTTTAACTTGACTTTTAATTGCCATCTAATTTAATTTTATTTTTAATTTATTTTTTTTTCTTTTTTTCTATATTTTCTTTTTCTTTTTGGTTACCACGTTATTTTGTCATGTTTTCATTATATTTATTGCTTCTTTTTTAAGAAGAGTTTTTTTGTCTGTTTTTGCCTTATCCAAATTTGAAAAAAAAGAATTAATTAGAAAACCCTTAATTATATTTTTACTTTTTTTTTGTTTTGTTTCCCTCGTTTTTTATATAAAATTTAATGAATTTTAGAGAAAAACCATTTTGGAGTTTTCTTAGAATTACCAATCACTTTTTTAGTTTTCGTTTTTCAAGACAAAGTTAAATCAGAAAAAGAATAATGATAAATAACAAAAAATAAAATTGTGATTAAAAAAGAAAAAAAATATGAAAGTTAAAAGAACTAAAAAAAGGAACTATAAAGGGTTTGAGAAGTGAAAATGGCTGAATCAACCACAACTAATCCACGAGTATTAAAATATAGAGCCGTTAATAAAGCACGAAAAGAAGCTAAATCTAGTAAAGTTGGAAATAAGAAACCAAGTAAAGAAATAAAAGAAAAAGAAATGGCAGCAATTACTCGTGAAATGACTATTCATATGCATAAATATCTTCATAAAGAATCATTTAAGAAAAGAGCACCAAAAGCTATTAAAATTATTAGATTCCTTGCAATTAAAACTATGAAAACACATAATGTTAAATTTGATATGGGATTAAATCAATTTATTTGGAGTCAAGGTATTAGATCAGTTGCTGATAGAATTAGAGTTAGAATGGCTAGACTTCCAATTGAAGGTGAAGAAGGTAAATTTTATACTCTCGTTTCATACGTTCCAGTAGCTAGTTTTAAAGGTCTTGTTACAAAAACAGTAGAAGAGACAGAAAATTAAGTGAAATGTTTTAGGACTTTTAAACTACATTTTATTTAAATTTATAGAAAAACAAAAAAGAAAATAATTTCAAAAGGATTAAATTAAATGATAGAAGCAAATTGAGCTAATACTGTTTTAGGTACTAATGTGTTTTCAATTCCATCTAATCCATGACGGTCAATACAAGAAGTATTATTAATAACTAAATTTTCTAAACGGGTAGGTAATTCAATTGTAATTTTTTCATCAAAACGAGCTTCATTAATAAATAAATCAGAAAGATAATTTAATGAACGAAGTTTAATAATTTTAGTATTTCCAACGTGAGCAATAAAGTTATTTCCTTGAATTTCAATTTTATAAGGAAAATATTCTTTTAATAATTTTGAAAATTGAGTATCAAATACCATTTGATTAGAAACTTGAAGATAATAATCTGTATAAAATAATAAAATAACTCCTTTCTTTAAATAAATATCATGAAATTTACCTAATCCATTAGTAAAAATACCTACATTTATTACATTAGATACTTGTTGTATTATTGGAATATCTTCATCTCTTAACCAATTCAATCTAAATATAATTGTTGTACGTTCTGAATTTATTCCTTTTAATAATGACCATAAATATTCAAGATGTTGTGTATCACAATCAATAATTATTTTATGTAAATGTCCTAATTTCTTTAATCCTGTTATAAAATTTGTTACTATTTCTTTTGAAAGTTGTTTTGTTACTCTAATTCTTATTTCTCTTAAATTAGTTAATGAAGTTATATCTATATTCTCTTTAAATGAAAGATCAATTCTATAACTAACTATTCTATCCTTAATTTCATTTAAATTTTTATATTTATTAGCACTTGGTTGATTTAAAAAGAATGGTATTTCAAATAATTTATATCTTTCTACTACTTTATTGAATATTAACCCTTCTTATAATTTATTCAATTAAAACAAACATTTACTTAATTCTATTTTTTCTAATGAGTTAATGTCAATATGAAGTGTTTCTAATCCTCCAAATATTTTCATTTCTTTATTCAAATTATTAAGTCGTGAATCCAATAACATTGTCTCTAATGACCTTTCTTTATAACATGGATTAATTTTTGTTCTTCCAATAGCGTCATCACAACTGTGACATACTTGGTGAAAATTAAATAATGTATGAAGTGAGTCTAAATATTGAATCACTGACATTAAATATACTGTTTCTAACTTTATTGGTGCTCTTTCCTATTAAAATGAATATCTTCTTTTTTTCATTTTTGTTCTTCGAACAAACCATTTAAATCTCTTTTATGTTGATCTCATTTTCTATTTTCTCTCTTTTCTTATTTGTTTTCTCTTTTGCATTCTCTTAACTTTCTCCTTTTTTTTTTTTAATTTTTAAAATTTTTTTTCTTATTCAAAAATTAACTAACGTGTTTTAAATATTGAAATTTTTATTTTTTAAAATATATAACAAAAATTAAATGTCATTTTTAAACTTATTGTTTTCGATTAATTTTCTTTGTGAGAGAAAGTTTTAGATATCATTATTATTTTATTACACTGACCAGATTTAATGATAAAAACAAATTCTTCAGTAATTCTTAAATTTATCACTTGTCTAGCATAAATGACTCACTTCATTATTACTTTATTTAGGACTCTAAGAGAAATAACAAAAAAAACTTACTTTTATGAATTTCTGATGTTCATTTATTTTGTGGTTGTTACTTGTTTTTTTTTTAAATAAGTTTCAAATTAGAACTAATAATTAAAAGTTGTTCAAATGTTACAACTGTATTTCATTGTTACTTGGATTAGTGGTATTTTATTGTCAGGAGTAGAACTTGTCATTGTTTTGTTTCATTGCCTTTGTATTGTAGATCTTCAAACTGACCAATTGTCTCCAGTAGATTTTTGTAAGAGAGTTAATCCGTTTGTTTAAATTATTATTTCTGTTTGATTATTTTAAAGTATTTGTTACTTAATTTACTCACACAACCAAGTTTTCTTATCCCAGAAGTTATAATACAATTTATTTTGACCATCATTTATATTCCCCAATTTTTTATATTTGAACTTCTTTTTACTATTCCATTATTATCTTTAGATATTTATCATTTCTTTCAAGCTTCATTTAAGTATAACCCTGTAACTGTTTTTACAAATATTCATAGGAAAGAGGTGATTGGTTATTTAAAAATTTGTTATTATCTCCTTTTTATCTTTGTTTCAATAGGGAGAATTCTCTTCCACGTTATTACTTCTGAATAGCAAAAAAGGAATTAATTTAATTATTTTGATTTTATTTACTTTGGTCTTAAATATAATTTATTTTCATATTTTTATTAATTTTGGTAATAATTTATTTTTTATAATATTAATATTAATTGAAACTTAGACAAAAACAGAATATAACTGAAGAAAAGGTTAATTTATCATAATGGAATCACAAAAAGCAAGTGGTATAAACTTCTTTGAAATTGTCTGTTATTACTAAGTTTTCTCTATTGAATGTATTTGCAATAACTAGACTTTGGTTTTTAATTTAGAAAAGGAGAATTTATATGTCAGGGCATATGCCTTACAAAGTGTGTTTTTCTTTATTGGAAGTACAGTGACTGGTTTTCCTTTTTTATTTGTTGTGTAAAATTCTTGGTGATGTACTTAAAGGAATTTACATTGGATTACTTGTATCATATTTTGTTTTGAGAATTGGGGTGGTTGTGCTTACCTGTATTTTCTCTATAAGTGAAAATTTTTACAGCATATCATTTATTAAGGAAATAATTCTTAGATTAGCTAATTAAATATTTTTGTTAGTTTTTTTCTCCAAATTTTAGAAGAAGCATTTGGTGAGTGCATAGATAATTCCTCCAATGCTCAAGCAAAATACCCAAAGAAATGAACATATCCAAAATTCCATTCCTATAGAATTGGTTTCTATAAATACAGCGATTGGAGGACAAAAGATACATAAACAAAATAACATCAATTTGTTGTATACCATAAATAATTTTAAGAAATGAGTTATGAGATGATAGATTGAAATTGAAAGAAAATTTTAAAGATTATTTCATCATTATAGTGTGATTAGATTGAATCATATCTTAAAATCTTTAGATTAATCGTTTTATAAATGAGTAGTACAGTTTTTGAAATTATTCATTCTACAAAATGTTTATCTACAACAAAATGTAAAATGATATCTTCATTAAAGAATTCATTAAACCAGCTTGAATATACACAATTATATCATTATTATCTAAACCAAGAAAATGAAATGATTCATAATGAATTACTTCATTTTTTTCTCCATCATTTCAATATTAATTGTTTAATTTTAATAAAACAAGAAACTGATTTAAAGATAGAGTCAGATAAATGTGTTTTGCTTCTTCTTCAAATAGTGTTAAAAGAACCATCTTTAGTTTTACATCGTTCTTCCCTTTTTTCAATTAATGATTTATTCCAAGTTTTTTCAAGACATTTATTAACAAAATCATTAGTTGATTTAATAATCCAATTTATTACTCTTCTTCAATCTAATAAATTTTTGCTAAACAAAGTTTCTATAGATGAATTATCTTTTCATAGTATGGTTAAAAACCTTTATTTATTATTATTAGATTCTTTAGATTATTCTGTTTTTATTTTATTTAATCAATACCTTTTATTATCACCTGTAGAATTAATAGCATCATTATTTAATCATTATAATATTGATCATTTAATTCAATCAACACTATTATCAAAAATATCAGATCAATGTATTCAATTCCTTCGTATATTAGTTGCTACATTATCAAATGATTTTTTAGAGCAATACTTTTCTCGATCTCCATTATGTGATTATTTGATTGAATCTTTTTTTGAGAATCCAAATAACGAAGTTTTAATTACTCTATTAACTTATACTCAATTATCATCTTCTATTGCATTTCAAATACTGAAGTTTTTACCTCCTTTTTATCACTGTGTTTTGTTATTGCCTCATCTCATTCATTATATTCCTAAATCTGCTGCTGTTGAGTATTTTCAACAAGTTATTTTTCATCTTGATGGTCAAACCTTAGAAAAAAATTTTATTGAAATTCTCCTTTCTTTTAATGAAGAATCTTCATTGGATATTTCTTCTATTATTCCACAAATTATTAGATATATTGAAGATAATGATTTAGAACAAATAGAACAAATTCTTAAATTAATTCAACTAATAACATTACCACAATATTATTTATCTTTTTTGATTGGTGGTGGTTTAAAATTATTATTGGATTATGGTTGTGTTGATCAGTTATATTCATTACTCAAATGTTCATTATTTGATTTTATTCCATCTTTTCTTTTAAATAAAAATGATGTTCCTAGTTCATTCCAACAACTTCAAATATCTATAGATACTACTCCATCACTAGCAATTCTTTGGTTATCTTTATTATCTGAACCATTCTTTTCTACTGATTTTATTTCAACTATTCAACCTCAAGATTCTATTGGTTCAGAATTATTATTATCAATTCAATTACACTTGAAAAGTAATTGTACCCAACAATTTCCTTCTATCTTATTTGGTGATACCCCCTTTACAGGAACTTTATCATATCCATTTCTTAATGTTCTTCTTTCAACTGAAAATGAATCCCTCATTCAAAAAAATAAAGAACTCATTATTGTTTCTATTCAAGGAATATTAGATGATCCTTCTTTTACTTTTCTTTCATTTAAAGAGAAGCAAGAATTTGAAATAAAAGTTGAATGGGTAAATTTCTTATTAAGTAAATAACATATCTGGTATTCTTTGAAATACTTTAAAATGAATAGAAAAAAAATGGATTACTTTTTGTTAAAAAAAAAAGAAAGAATAAACAAAATCAAATTAGCCCAGAACTTGAAAGACTTGGTAGTTGTTGAGTAGTATTATTGATAAATGCCGTATAAGGAATTTGCCAATTACTATAAGGAAAAGCAGTAATAATATTAATTGATCCATTATTGATAGGACATTCATTATTGAAGAATATTTCTTGATTATCAAAACTAACAAAACTAATATTTTCATTTTGTATAATTTCTTCTTTGTTGGTTTCTGTTTTCAAAGTATCAATATCTAAAGAATGAATAATTGGTGAGTTACAGTGGTTTTCAAGTATTTTATTACTTTTATTTTTAGTTTGAGATAATAATATTTTATCAGGTGTAATAATATTAAGAATATATTGAGTGACATCATTTAATTTATCACCAAATATCCCTAAATAATTTCCAAGCATTTCATTATCAAAAACAATAGGTTGTTCACGTTTAATATCTGCTTTATCAAAAATATCTCTAATTTTATGATTAATTAATTTTCCAAATTGAGAAACTGAAGAAGGACAAGGTAAGTTTATTCCATTTCCTATTAGACTAGAAACACGTTTCATTTTAACAATAATATTTGTTGATCTTGTTTTTTAAAAGTAATAGA